CACTGTGCTAAGTAGATTACTGACAAAACGACCTTTTAATGCAAAAGTCTATACTTATAAATAAACTGTTTGCTCTTATTATCATTCACACAAAAAGAATCTGGGAGGAAACACAACAAGACGTTAATAGTTATCACCAAATAGGTGTAGTTTTGATTTTTGTTTTTCACTGTTTTGCTTGTCTTTGGTGAATAAGCATAAGTTGTTTTTCATTAAGAAGACTAAAAATAAGAAATAACTTTTCAGAAAAAAAAGGGGTGGGGGCGGTGAAGGAACTAAGAATGATTGGTCTGGAGCAGGGAAGTCTCAGGACTTGGCAAATGTTTTCAAATAGTTGAAGGTTAACAAGCGGAAGAGAAAGATTTGTACTGTGTAGTTTCAGAAACAACTAGGACTGAAGGACGGAAGCTTCTCAGCGTTTCTTACAATGAGCTGATTAGAAAGGCCACAGTGAGCACCACATTCTTGAAGGCATTCAAGCAGAGGCTGGAAGCCACCTCTCAGCGATGACCTATGGGTAGTACATGGACCAAATGGCTAATTGGATCACAAGACCTCTAAGTTCCTTGAGGATTAAGAAATGGGAAATTCTGATTCATTCCCTAATTTTGCTTTGAAATACACCAGAAGAGATAAGAACAAAACAAAAAAAACAGGTGGTCAGTTCCTTGAGGATTAAGAAATGGGAAATTCTGATTCATTCCCTAATTTTGCTTTGAAATACGCCAGAAGAGATAAGAACAAAACAAAAAAACAGGTGGTTGCCGGCTTTCAGAATTGAAGTCTGTTTTCTTGCCAATTATTTTTCAGCTATTATCATTGTTTCCATTAATCCCATGAGAAGACACCTGTCCTCCCTCATTCTTATGGATCTAGTGTGGATTGGAGATGTCCGAAGTGACAGCACAGACTCCTTGTTGCTCATTCCTCACTGCCACCAAACATCCGAGGCATCGACCCTGTAGCACAGCCTGGATGTTGATGCCTGCAGAGAACAGAAGAAAGAACAGGCGGTGTCTTTGGACTTCCGGAGTCTGATGCCATTTTTGTCTTCTGTGTCACTTAGGGATCGCTAATATTAGAGGCCTGACACCTCAGTGGCTTAAACAAATTAGGGGTTTCTGTGCTCACAAAAAAGAAGCGCAAGGGGAGACCGAGCAGGACTGGCATGGCAGCTCCAGGAGAACCAGGTCCTTCAGTCTTTCTGCTCCAAGTCCTCTGAAGAGCTTTCATCCTCAAGAGCTTCAGTCATCACGTCTGCATTCCAGGCAGGAAAAGGGCAGGAACAACCTGTGACAGAGGTGTCCCTCTCAGTATTAAAGAGCGCTCCTAGAAGTCCTGCCAGAGCTGGATTTGATGTAGTTTTCACAGGGTGCTTTGTCACCCAGTTATAATCCAGGTTCTAGTACTAGGGATGTACGTGGATCTGGAGCAAAAAATAGCAGTCTCTTCCAATCTCTCTCCTAATCCCTCTGTAAGGATGGTGGGGATTATTCCCTACCTATGAAGATGAGAAAACGGAAGTGGCATGAGAACTTGCTCAGAGCAACAGAAGGTCAGTGGTGGTGCTGGTTCCAAGACCCAGCTCAAGGATGGCTTTGAAAAATGATAGAAAACACAAAGACAGAAACCCATGAGTCTCTGTGGACAAACACCAGCTGTGAGCCCAGGGCCGTCTCTCCCTAGGGAGTCAAACTGGCAGATGAGAGGGCTGCAGAGGTCACTGAGGACAAGGGATGCAGGACACTGGAGCAGATGCCTCAGTGATGATGCTCCATGTTAGTCCCCGAGTTGGCAAAAGGTAGACAGCTTAGGCCATGGCTCAGCTGGGAGAACAGATGGACAGGAATTCGGCACAACTTCTGAATCAGCCGAGCGTCAGGATGCATGCCTTCCCTCTGTGGCAGCCGAGGCTACGATTCCCACCTGGTCACAGCCAGCTGCAGAGGCCCAACATTGAAAACAACAACAGCCCGGCCAGGAGGGCCTAGAAATGTGCCATCTCTCACCTGACTGTGAGGGGCCTTCAGGAGGACAAGAAAGTAGAGGTATTTCTCCCAGCAGTGAGGAAACCGAGTTGAGCTGCACACCAGGGGCAGGCTTAGGTTTCTCTGCGTGGGGCAAACAATCCCCTGTAGCAATCAGATCTTAGTCCTGAATCCTTTTGAGCACAGGGCTCTAACTATTGAGATAACCAGCCCATTTGTTTGGAAGAGGCTGGAGGTCTGTTCTTTTCATGCCCACACCTCCCATGGGAACAATGGCAGTGTGACCAGAGGTGTAAGAGAAACCCAGGACTTACACTGAGACACATGTGATGCGAGCAGAGGAACTCCTTCCTGCATCTGAAGTGGGAAATAGACAGGAAATAGAAACAGCAAACTTGATAAGACAGGAACAGTTGGGCTTTAGAAACAGGACATAAAATGCACAGGATTTTACTGCAACTCTGGTTACAGCATATGGTATAGAAGGAAGAAATACAAGTTTAAAAAAAAAAAAAACACACTTTCTTCTGTCAGCTGAACATGGGGGATGGGGGTTGGAGTTCATCTGGGAGTAAATGACTAAACCCAGAGGGAAAGAAGAGGAGTGACTTCTCTCTTTTTTACCTTCCAAAGAGTCTATCAATTCTGGATTATGTGTGTATCAACTCTCCATTCACTGACTCTGTAATTAAAAGGTGGCTGAAGTTTATTTGGAGTTTATGAAGCCAGGCTTGCAGAAAAGCTTCTTAAACGAGAAGTCTGGAGTGGAAATCTGGGGATGAAGATTGTTAACACTGTCCTTTGAGAGAGAGAAATTGGGAAGGGGATTGGAGAGGAGGGGGAAGAAAGAGAGGGCTAGCTGTGAGGGACCACCCCCTTGGAAGAAGCAGTCTCTGCATTTCCATGACTTTCCTTTTCTCGCATCTCACGGCCAGGCAGGTTGTACAATGAGGCTCTTCAGATGATTATAAGGAACTTCCAACTCCTGCTCCCTCACTCCAGGCCTTCTCTAATCTTGAGAACCTAGACTCATCAAATCCAGCTCTGGCAGCCTGAAGATCTGCTCTTGTGGCCTGGGGAAGGCTGGGCAGAAGGTGGCCAGCAGGCTCTGGTACCACCTGCCTTTCCCTGTCCTCCTTCAGCAGCACGGCTTCTTGCCCCTGCGAGGGTACAATCAGGTTTGAGCGCCTTCATGAGCCCCCCTTGGTCCTCTGGGGTGTGAGGAGTCAGCAGGGACACACTCCCCGTCCCTGCTGGGACCATCTGCACTCAATTATAAGCACTTTGGAAGCCAGCAGAGGGCTGTTTAGCTGCTGCTGGTTCTCTATGATTAGCCTGTTCTTGTTTTTTGAATATTGCACATGGTGTAGCCAGCTGTGAGAAGCATTCACGATTAAAAGCTTTTTCCTCCTCAAAAAGAAAAGTGCTAAGCTAGTTGTTATTACTATGGGGAAAGAAAAATATTTAAAAGTCTTACTTTCTGGAAAAGTTCCCTTCCCCACCCTACAATTCCACCTCTTCCCAGGATTGGCACCATTCCTTTGTCTATACAGTCACTAAACAGACGCTTGCTGCCAAGTGAGCCTTCCTAAAGAAGTATCAAGACAGAGTGTAACTCCAGTTCATGTATCATCCATTGCCCAGTAGCCTTTCCTCTCTCCCTTATTGTATGTGAAGGCATCCTCTTGATGAAACCATTCCAGAGACTGCACTCTTCGCAATCCACTCAGGAGCCAGGGCCCACTGCTGAGGCTTACCTTCTTTCTAGGTGCTGAGCCAGGAATAAGGCAATCCTACTTTGTTCACACTTGAAATTCTCCCAGGCAAGAAGCAATTGGCTGGGTTTGGCACCGTGCCAGTATGAAAATCACTGGGGATGCTTAACAAAATGTGTATTTCTGGGGCTACATCATGGACTTGAAATCCAGGCTCACACCTGAGTGCGGAGTCTGAGAAGTTGGAGATTTGGGAGTCTTGTGAATAGTGATGATGAAAGCCAGGAGATGAGCTACAATTCACAGGCAAACAAATGTGAAAATAGAAGGAGATGAGTGTGATCAGAGTCCCTTAGCCTCACATTTCTGAACCAGGCAAATAAACTCATTTCTTTTCTCATAATATACAGGCTCTGTGGTAAACAGCAGCACGAATACTCGAATAATCACAGGGCACATCTCTGAGTATACAAAGTTCTTTGTAGCATGGTTTGTTGGCTTCTATCTACCACCTCCATTTCCTCTTCTTTTTTGCCCCCTTTTTTGGTGGCTGGCTGGTAGGGGGATCCGATATCACCTCCATTTTCTGAAATTTAATATATATAAAGGAATAAATGGTTTAACTTACTATGCTGAGGAACGGAAGGTAAAAATGCCTATTTAAATATTTATCAGGAAGACTATCCCAAAAGTGATTTCACTTTTTTTTTTGGATAAGAAATTTTAAGTGCGTCCAAGTATAAGAAAATCTTATTTTGGGTTGTTACACTGAGGGTAACGGGAGCCACTGTCTGAGAAGAGAGCTGCAAATACGGAAAGGGAGAAAACTGGGGGGAACCCTGTGGCATCACGCTGGCATTGGAGGTCTTGGTGTGAATTCATGGTTTTCAATATACAGATACAGAAGTAAATTTACATGTGAATCTGGCACATACAAGTATGTGTGTGCAGACATGTACACACATGCAAATATTCCCAAGCTCTGGCCACTGAGATGACTTGGGACGAGTGGCACCACAGTAAGCACACCTAGCACTCAAATCTTAGCTTTTAAAATAATTTTCCACTAGAAGGAAGCAGGGCTGATGTAGAGAAACCTGGAATGTCTTATTGTCAGAAAATACAGCAATGCCCAAGTAGTAGGGGGATATGTCAAAAGGACATAGGAGCCAGCTTGAAGGTGCTGCCACTGGTCATATCTGAGACCAGTTAAGCAGCTGAATAGATGACAGGGATGAATTGTGACCCAGTGAATAACAGAAGAAACCACAAGTCCATACTGATATAAATTAATACATGAAGTGAAACAGAGTCACTTTATAGGGGAAGAGTCTGGCAAACACCACCTTAAACAAGTGGTCAAAGTTATCAACATCAATGATGGACAAATTGAAACGATGTGTCACCTGACGGGATACAGTGACAAAGATGAAGCTTCACTTCTGCGACGTTCTAGCCAAAGATGCATAATCTAAATTCAATCATAAGAAACATCATTCTGCAAAATAACTAGTCTGCATTCTTCAAAAGTGTCAAGGTCAAGAAAGCCAAAGGACACTAAAACAGACATTAATGGCAATTTTCTTCTTTTTATGGATGTTTTGTGGTTACACAGAACAGTGTTTTTGTTTATAAGAAATATACACTAAAGTATTTGGGGGTGATAGGTCCACTGGGATGGCAACTTACTCTCAAATGACTCACATTCTGTCCTCGTAATTTTTCTGTTTGTGAATGTTTCAAAATAAAAATGTTTAAAAAAGTACAATTTCTCTTTCATTTTTATCTGTTATATGACTCAAAAAATGACTACAGTAATTATGAACACACTAATATTTAAGATGGATATTTCAACATCAAGTTTCAACACAATTATTTCTTGAAACGGAGTAGAAGTTAATGTTATTTTATGTAACGTGATTTTAAATGCATCTTTTAACTATTTTAAAACATTTACTATTATGAATTAAAAAAAGATCAGTGAATGAATGTACTCTACTGGGTTGAATTAAAGTAGAATATTTAAGGTTTATAAAAAGTTTGGCTAGGGAAAAATAACAATTTCACAAAATCTGTGCCATCCAAAATTAAGATGACATTCAGTGGCAAGAAGTATGCCAATTTCTCACAACCAGTTCTCACAAGCAATGATGTGTGTGCCTTACTTTAAGAAAGTATCCAACGAATAGGCAAATCTGAAAGAATTTACCAAGTGTAATAAATTAGAGGTAAAAATCATCATAAAGAAATTATGGCTTACAAAAAGATTCACAAGTAAAAGTTGTACTTCTATCAACTTCTCACAGTCCTTCCAGACCCTCTCGACCTCTGAAAGATGTGATTTACCAAAATTTGGTTTATACTGAACTTTTCACGGACACAGGACCTGAAAAGAAAGAAGTATCCAGTAACACTGACGCCGCCTGGTGCTCTTTCCTTGTATTAATCCCTCTCCTCTCAGATGTACAAGTAATCAGAATTGGGTCCAAGTGGCACAGAATCAAGCATTATGTATCATGCCAAATGCCATTTCCTGTCCCACAGAATCTCATTTTTCCCCAGTAATGAAGAGGTGGACATTCTTCTTGGACTGCAGCATCTGTGCTGCACGCTCCACACCAACCACAGCAGCTAACCTCTGGGCATCATACTTGGAGTAGAGGACAGTGCAGGTCCATGTGGCTTCTTCTCCTCTGCTGGTGGCTTTCAGCATATTACAGATTTCACTGTAGAAGTGTGGATATGTTGGCAGTTCATAGAAAATCAGATTCCTGATGCCTTTTATTGTATACCTGTTAGAATGGGAAAGAGAGAGACCATGTTTACCTGAGAAACAATTTATGAAAAAGCTACCTGAGAACTGTACAGGAGTACAGTTTATTCTTGTTGCTCCCTGCTAAAGGAGGAAAACAATGGCACAAATAACAGAACAAAGATTATTCTCACTCGAGGCAGAAGGGCTTATTTTTGTAATAATGTATCTGAATTCCTAACATTTGCCTTAAAATAATGATAAAATAAACATTTGTTGAGCCTATTCTGGCTAGGCTGAGGTAGGCGGGGAAGAATAGTAGACCAGGATTAAAAACTTGTCTCAGAAAACCTAAAGAGCAGGCACTTACAATTTAACATTTTCTTTACTATAATTAAGCAAAATAGAATATTCTGTAATGGAGATAAGGTCAGACCCCGTATATAAAATAAACTGCACAAATTGTAAATGCACTCCCATTAGTCTTTTCTTCTTGTCACTCTGTAGACATGTTAACTCCATGGCAGATGTCCCAAGTTCATCCATATACAAAATCCTGCCTGAGGACCCATTAGGCAGCATGAGAAAGCAATTAGTTTCAATGGCTTATGCATTTCCACCTCTTTCCCCTGCCACAAAGTGCTGCATGGTGATGTTGGGGGTGTGTAGAGCCAGGAGACCCACCATATGGTTCAGGTCAAGGTCAAATGTTCCCTCTGGGACCCCATAACAAAAGATTTTATGTGTTGACAAGGTTCTGATTTTTCCTGTTAGATTCTCATACACTGATGATGTTAGACTCCCTTGGGAATTTTGTTTTATTCACAGAGGATAAGTTTTCCTTGTCTTTTTCTCTCATGGCTCATCCTGATCTCTCTGGAGACCCTCTTCCAAACTATAGCTGTGATCCATTTCGTAGTTCACCTTTCAACACCAGCTTTCCATAAAGAAGAAATTCTAATGGCTAATGAACCTGAATAAACTGTTCTACCTCACTAGTTATCAAAACAAACAAAAACAAACATTGAGTTCCACTTCTGCTTAGTATGTAGAAAACTCAAGAATATTGCTCCCACACTAACAAGAAAAAGCCAGATAATCTACAAAAGCATCCCTTTTCTTGAGCCTAGAGAGCCAACGTCATGAGGCAACCGAGTACTGAATTCAGTGGTGTGCTAGTGTATGTTGAATAACTGGTTCTCAGTGAAAAGAGAGGGTGCTGATTTGAGGCGTTTGCCAATTTCTGTGGTGTAAATACTCCCATCATGGCCAGTTTCAAGCTACCCACCTTGTGTTGCTGAGCGCAGAGTTGGGAAGAGATGTGGAACCAGATCTCAAGAGCCAGCAGGAGCCAGCTTCAGCATACCACTGACTGAATTCCAGAGTGACAAGCCCTTCTGAAGAAAAATAGGACACACGAACTACTGCACCTTTGGCAGAGCACCAGAGAAAGTGGGCGGCTGCCAAGGAGTGAGTAGGAAGAAAAAAGCTACACTTCTAACAAATTCTTAAAGGGCAAGTACAGGCTTCAGAATTCTTGGGATCCTTGGACGCTCCTTTAGTCCACATCCACTCAAGAGCTTTTTCCAGGGGCCTCCACGGGGAGCCCTGGAGAAAGACTGGAGACAAGGCAGAAGACCTGAGAGAGACCCCACTGGTGGTGTAGGCACGAATGCCCAACCACTTCCCAACCCCCCATCTTGACATCTATAGCAAAAGCCTGAAGCAGATGGAAGATGGACAAGAGCCCCCATCCCAGGAAAAGGTAAACTACTGGTGAGGGGAGAGCAGGGAGAAGAAAAAGTCGCCTGCCCTAAGGGAGGGGCAGTAGCCCGCCCCTCAGCTCTCCCTCCGCACCACAATCCTTGCACCCAGTAAAGAGCAACAGCAGTCCACCCTGATGGAAGAGCAAGACACCTGCTCAACCCAGCATCCTGCACTGATACAAGCAGACGTCTACCACCTCTGAGGGAGAGGCTGGATACTCTTTCCCACCAAGACCCCCACAGATAACAAGGAAGACTTTGGCTGCCATGGGGTGAGGGTGGGGGTGCAGGATCCCTGAGAAAGCCCACCTCCAAAGCCCAGAATGAATAGGACTTGCCTAAAAATAAGCTGGACCAGGAGAACCTCCCACCCCTACCTCATGCCTTGCAGGGAGTAACGTGCAAGAGTGGCGTGTGGAGGGACACCACCCTCTGGCACAGGTGTACAGGGCTGGTGACAGTAAGAGGAAATCAAGACACAGAAAAACCCTCCAGTACCCAAGACCCCAAACCAAGCCCACCGTCTCCTGAAGGGATTTGAAGTCTGTGGTGCGTGGGAAGTAACTACAGTAATAACCAAACCCTGACTAGACTGACAGCATCCACACTAGTGGCCTATGGAAGCAGAGGTTCACTTAGATGTAGGTTTTATTTACATTTAATTGAAAATGATGGAAAACAATGAGGTATCATTTTGACTATCAAGTCAATGGCAGTAATGTCTGTGGGGTTTTGCAGAAATAGGTCAATGAAGTGTAAGTTATTTTGTGTGTGAATTTTTGTTGAGGAGGGAGAAGACAGAAGATGGGAAGGAGCAAATACGTGGCAACGTATACCAAATCTTTCATTGTGTACATCCTTCGTGCTAGCAAGTTCTCCTTTCAAAATCTATCCTAAGGACGTAACGAGGTAAGTATGCTATCAAAATATATGCACATGGATGTTCTTGGTATTACTGCATATAATAGCAGATACTGAAAAATAACATATGCCCATTAAAAGGAAACTGGGCTAATTACTGCTACACATTGAAATCACTTGGCTGGTTTCTGTTTTGTTTTGTTTTAAATACTTATGCTTGGCTCCCATACCCAGACATTGTGATTTCATTGGTACTGGGATGTGACCTGGACTTTAATACAGATTTTTGAAAGCTCCCCAAGGTGATTCTAATGTACAGCAAAGTTTGGGAACCAGTGATCTAAATAATATGAAAGAAGTCAGATAAATCCAGACTGTAGTACATGCTACAGGAAACTGAATTGGACTCTTCAAAAAAATTTCAATGCCATGAAAAAGAAAAAAAGCAAGAGAATTATGCTAGATCATGGTTTCTCAACACTACTGACATTTTGAGCTAGATAATTCTTTGTTGTGGGGGGCTGTCTTGTGCACTGTAGGATGTTTAGCAGTACCCCAGCCTCAACCCTCTAGAACTACCAAAATAACCCTCCAGTGATGACTACCAAAAAATGTCTTCATATATTGCCAAATATCCCTTGGGGAGCAAAACCGTCCCCGGTTGAGAACTAAGCTAGACTACAGAAACAATTTAACCAAATGAAATTTAACCAAATGATCCTTAACTGAATCCTGGATAAGAAGGGAAAACAGCTATTACGGTCATTTTGGGGACAAACAGGAAAATATGAATATAGACTATACATTAGATGATGATACTGTAGTAACATCAGGTGGTACAATAATGGCATTGTGGTTAGACAAAAAAATGTTCTTGTTTTTAGGAGCTACATGCTGAAATATTTAGGGATAAAGTGTCAGAAAGTCTCTTGCAACTTCCTTGTAAATGGTTCAGATGATACTGTAGTAACATCAGGTGGTACAATAATGGCATTGTGGTTAGACAAAAAAATGTTGTTTTTAGGAGCTACATGCTGAAATATTTAGGGATAAAGTGTCAGAAAGTCTCTTGCAACTTCCTTGTAAATGGAAGTTAAAAATAAGAGATGTGAGTGGAGCCAGAGAGAAATGGGCGTAAGCAAATGGGGTAAAATGCCAACAGCTTGTGAATTCTGAGTGAAATGGATTTATAAATGTTTATTATTAGAATCTTACAATTTTATTTTGAAATAAAATCTTTCCAAATAAAAAGCTGGGGGGAGGAAGGATGTGATGGAGTGATATATATTAACTTAAAAATACATCTGCTATATGCAAATATATATACTAAAATGTTAACACTTTTGAATTATTTTTCAATGAGCACATAAAATGTTTAAAGAAAAAAAAATCCCAATATGTACAATGTGATCCCAATTTTGGGATTTTTATTTTATTTTATTATTATTATTTTTCTTTTGCAGTTGGCCAGTGCAGGGATCCAAACTCTTCACCTTGGTATTACCAGCACCACGCTCTAACCAAGTGAGCTAACCAGCCAGCACTTTGGTATTTTTAAAGAAAAAAGTATAAATATGTGTGTACATGTGCATGTGTGTGCACGTATTTTTCACATAAAAAAACAGGAAAAAAATACACCAAACAGAATTTTTTTTATCAGGGCAGTGAGATTTTAGGTGATTCCATTTTCCTTTTTTTTTTTTGTCTTTTTTTTTTCTTTTTCCGTGTCTGGCAACGGATCGCAACCCTCAGTGTCGCCCCCGTACC